CATATTCGTTATTTTGTCATAATCAGGAAAGATCTGTTTGGGAAAATTTTTAAACTTCCGCTGCCGTACTTTCGAGGTATGTTACATCAATTTCCTAACACCCACATGTAGTCTTCTGTTTGCAATAAACACATTATTTTCCTATACCTCTTCTGCACCCGGTGCTGTTGAGGGCTCTCCCACATCCTCTGTTTTGTCTTCAGCAGTGACACTTTCCCCGGTCTCTCGGGTGATTGTCATCTTCTCATCTAGATACCCTAAACCAAATCCTTCAGCCTCTATTTCTTCTTATTCTCTCTCTCTCAATAACGGTGTGTTCCATCCTATTAGAGCTGGAACCTTCCTTGGAACGCTTCTTCTATATACCACCATCCTATCCACATATAACACCTACAAAATATATGAATAAAAGATTTACTTCAACTTTATTAACGCTATTCATATGAATATTAACTTCATCAGAAGCACATCAAATTTTGCATACTCATTATTGATTTCCAGATTTACCTTAAGTATTATGCACATTGTTTTCCCTCACAAAAAAATATCGCTTAATATGGCCTTAAAATGCTAGTTCACTTGACTGTAAATGCACTTTCAGAAACTACAATTCCTAACTAAATCACTAATTTATCAGTCTTATGAACAAATCTAAAATTCATGCACCACACCTTTTATAAAACTGGACCCAACCTACATACCACACACTCTGCATATTCAAGTACTTTAATATGCATACTAACTTCATCACAATCACATCAAATATAATCTTGCACACTCAACACTCATTTGCACCTTTACCTTATCTATTATGCACATTGTTTTCCATCACACCCAATTCATTTTATGTGGCCTTAAATTGCATTTTCACGTAACTATGAATGCAATTTAATACACTCGCATTAACAAACAAATCAACTTATTCATCATTCTTAAAGAACAAATCTTAAATACATGCACCACACCTTTTATAAAACAGGACCCTACCTAAATACCACACAAACTGCATATTGAACAACATTTATATCAAAATAGGATGCACTTACCATCAAGAAAATGAGCGGACCGGTGAATGCTTTTTCCTTTCCTTGAGCCCATTCCCTTTTCTTCTCAATTAGAGCCATTATCACGTATTCGCACCAATTTAAATCTTTAATTTTTTTTGTGTCCTTCAAATTGTTTATGAAGAAGCAGTTGATGTATCCGTTTCTTGTATTCTCTATCAACGTAGATATAACAAGAATTATGAAGTTCCTTACAAACCAATCTCCTCATTCCTCACATCTTAGCATTTCACGTGCCACTTCTATTGGAGTTACCTTATCTTTTCCGCCAAAAGAAGCCCTCCACTCATCCACCATTTCACTTTTCTCCCCTTTCCCCTTCTTTAACACTGCTGTTTGACCACGTGGAAATCTCAAAACCATCTCCACATCTTCTTCAGTGATGTGAACTTTCCTTCCTTTACCTATCTTCAGTGAACAACTAATTGGGTCGAAGTTGTCCACAATCCAATAACCAAGTTTAGAAGGCAATTCTTGGATTCCTAGTTCTAATAATGATCCAAAGCCCACTTCATGCACTTGTTCTCGCTGTTTGTTAGTCAACTTCGCCAAAGCATTCATCACCACATTCGGTGATGATCTTGTGTATAGCCTATGGTACTGCACCTTCAGCTCATTCAAAACAGCCTTCCTCTCCTTCTTTTTTGGTCTACCCTCACATGCTCTATCGTTTTTCACCACTTCTTTTGGTAAATTAACAAAGTCTTCATCACTGACAGCTTCTTCCCTTTCATTCAAGTCTTCCTCACTGCCCTCTTCGGTATCAAGCACCACCACATCCTTAAGTTTTTCATTACACACTTCCCTCTCCTTATTTAGCTTTCCACTCCTCCTTCTTTCACTACTTTCTTGCACACCGCTTCTGCTTCCACGAGCACCCTTAGATCCTGCACATTCAAATTAACAGTTCATTGAAAATGGCACTACATGAATGAGCACATCATTTTAGTATTAATTGCATCATTTTAATTCTAATTCACTTCGTAGTATATGTATTTCAAATGCATGTAATTTAATAAAAGTTCACATCTAGGAATGACATTTGACTAACACATAGCGGGGACAGTAGGTTGTAATCAAACCTTCAACTGGGCCACTCCTTGTTTTCTCCGTTGCAACACCTTTTGCCTTTTCCTTTTTCAACATTCTCTCAACCTTTTTTTGCAACAATTCAAGACCCAAAGTGTCTTCTACAAATGAACCTGCATTTGAGGATAATTCTTTCTCATTAATACACCATAAACTATTCAATACAATGGATATTTACTATTACTGACCATGGAATTCATGTCTGGTTTTGCTCCTAATTTCCTGTAGCTGCATGCTCAATTCCTTTTGTTTGTCAAGCTTAGAATGCAACTGCATGAGCCGACTAATCTTGTCTTCTAAAGTTTTAATCAAATCTCACACTCAAATTTAGTAGTACACACAATTGAAGCAATGAAAGTATACATTTACTAACCATCACAGTCAGGCATCAATTGTACTTGTTTCCCCTTATTAATCACCTTCTTTTTCTTTGCCATACTACTCCCAGATGGTGCTGCTTTCTTTCTCTTTTGTACAACTGTTTGGTGGTTTTGTCCAGTTTCTAATTAGTTTGTTAGATTACTTAGTACACTTTCATGAATATGCACATCAAACTACATTCATGTGCATCTTAACTACTTGTTGAAAAAAAATGCTTCGATTAATGATATGTCGCACATAATGCAATCAATAACATATTCAAATACAACCACAGCTTAATTCAATACAAAATACATATTCCACTACAATCATCTGCATCTTAAGTACTTCTCTAAGATATCAGATATGACATGAATGTTTACCAACATTATAAGCACCTATAAACAATTTGTAATGCACTTACCGTTTCTCTTTGCATAACAACCAATCTTCATCTGCATATTAATTCCATCACCCAAAAAATAAATATGCATTTGAAAATAAACCCTATCTGCATTTATTTCACAGTTCAATTGCATCTTTATTTAATGTCTTGTGCACCATAACAATCTAAGTTATTTCTAAGTTTTTTTATCCACACCCAACAATTTTGTTTTATCTGCATTTTAACTAACACACACAACTTCCTCAAACACAAGTCAATTGAACCTTTAGCTACATTATTTTACCCCAAGCAATTAACAAATAAAGTATTTACTTGCACCCTTGATTACTTCTAAGTTACCTCAACTGCACCCCACATATCTTAGTCTTCAAACCAAATCACCTAAATTGCACCAATATGTAATCTATTTTGCACCAATAACCTTTTCTAATCAAAATCAATAACCATACACGAACATAAAAACCAACATTCATACTAAGATTAGTCTACTGTATTGCACCTTTACCTAATCCATTTTGCAACACCATTTTGTATAATCAGGATACTCACTCAACAAACACGTACTCCAAAAACAACATTGATACTAAGATTACTTTAATCTATTTCACCTTTACGTAAACTTATTTGCACAATACTTAATCTAATCATTAACACCCACCAACCACGAACACACAAACATTCTCAATGCAAAATGCCATTTTCCCTCAAATTCAATTCCATATTATTAATTAACAATTACACATTACTAACTTCAAGATAATCCAAAAACACATTACATATGCAGTCCATCACAAATGCATGCACACATTCCTCTTTGTGCATCTAACATACAACATCCTTCATGCAAACATATTAATCTGAACAACAGAACTACCTTCTTCGCACGCCAAAGCAGCTTGTCACAAAGCATGTTCTTCTTGAACTGAAGCCATTTGCGCAAATGGAATTTCACCGGTCGTTGATCTTCACAAATGACATTCTTCGTCTACACTGAAGCTTTCGCCGCTCTCAAGCAAATATTTCAGCTTCTCAGACTTTGCTAGTTGGAGCATTAAACAACCTCTGCATCTTTCCTTAATTTGATTTGCTATACATGGGCGGTTGGAATCTAAGTGGGGATTATGCGCAATACCGATTTCCTTCCTTTTCCGTACTATGGCAGTTCCATTTAAAAAAATTCAAATGACATCTTTATCCCTAATTACTAAACGGTTTTTCTAATACCCGTTCCCCTACTTCGCAGATCATGAAACAAAACGATGAGGAACCTGTTTTGGGCCACTGATTTGCCTAAATCGGATGCATTCAATTAATTTGCATTTTGTATGGGGAGAAGTGTTTGTATGTGATCTCTTCCCTATATATATATATATATATATATATATATATATATATATATATATATATATATATATATATATATATATGTGTGTGTGTGTGTGTGTGTGTGTGTGTGTGTGTGTGTGTGTGTGTGTGTGTGTGTGTGTGTGTGTGTGTACGAAAAACATACTTTGTATAATATTTAGTCATGACTCGTGAGCAATAGGTATCAACGGTGAATTCAATTTTTTTAGAGCACATCTTTGGAGATGAAATGTGTTTTTAACAATCCGTGTGTCCACCTCACCAACACGGGCCATTGATACGAATGACATGTCCTCTTTTTAGGGGTGCACACATGGTTGATCTTTGCAACATTATACCACGTTACTTTAGTACATCTTGACCTTCACAGACTAGTCACTTGCTTGCCCATGATTGCTCCTCCCGGATGTAGTCCTACAAAGACAATTCTTTGCTTTATTCCATCATATTCCCAAGCCAAAAATAATGTCTTTGGCTCCATTGCAAATGATGGAAAACTAACCAAAATAGCTTAATGTTTAAACTATTTATTAGAGCAACTTTTACAAATCAGTGTCATATCATATTCATTGAATAAATTTTAAATAATCTCTATGACTCTATGTTCAAAACTCTTCATCAACAATGATACTCAAATAAATAGCTTTTCTAGAAAATTTTAATATTTTAACTATAATCTAAAATGCGCTGCATTCGAATTATGATAAATCTTTAAAATAATCAAACACAAATCATCGTCTAATTATTCTTTAAATACACAAATGAATTAAGAGACCCTTGATCGGGAGAAATGTTCAAATTTTATTATCAATTAATAATAATCACAATAAAAATACTTAATACAATAACAGGTATTAATTACAATAACTGATTGACCCTTGGCTCTTTATCTCTGATATAGAGATGTAACAAAGTAGCATCAAACCAGGATTTCTATTAGTTCACTTCAATCTCATAATCTGCCTTTGAACCTACATCATCCACTGGGGATACCAACATGTAACCAACGGCATAAGGCACATGTGTAGAGTGTAGTCTGAATTGATTTCTATGTACGCCTCCCTCTAAACAGCTCTGGAGAACCACAACTGCACAATCCATTGACATCAAATAGGCACGTCTGGTCAATAAGTCATTTGTTATGAGCTCATACTTAGACGGTGAAATTGCATCTTCAGGGAGGAATGTCCGTTAATAAATATTTAGAATAGTTATTTAACAGACTAGTCTTCTAGTTTGTTATAATAAATAGCTTCTTTCCTTCTGTGTATATGACCAGTTCCCTGATGTAGTTGAAGGACAACGTTCATCTTCTTCATGCTTTTGTCTGATCATTTCTTCTTTGTGCATAAACTATTAGTTCGAATTCTATTTTCTCACTATTGAATTCCTACTTAGTTTGGTAAATCCTGCAGTTAACCCAGGATCATACCATCATTTTCAGACAAACCCTTCTATTTCTGGGCTTTGCGGGCCAGAAAACGTGCCCTCGCAGCTTGAATCCTGTTGTCAAGCTCCTCTGGGGGTTCAGCATGAGTGGCAGCATCTTCTCTTCCCAAACCTGACCGTGTTTCTTCGATTAACTCTTCCCTCTGATAGGATCCACCACTACCAAGACAGCCACAAGGCAGGTCAGTAAATATAATAGTAATAAAATAAAAATAAAATATGAGTGGCTCTTTTGAAGTTTGACTCACCTTAGTTTTTTTACGTTAAGATTCTTAAGTCTTTCCAAGACAGGCAAAACCCATTGCATCTCAACTGCACACACATTACGCATATACGGGCGTGTTGTGGATATTAGCTCATGATATACCACATAATTTGAGAGCATTCCATCATCATCTGCTTTCAATACTGAAGATGGATGGACCTGCTTGACAAAAGCAGATACAGCATGAGTAGGCATATTTATCATCTGCAGATTCTGCACAAGCCCATCTGGTAAGGGTCAATCTGAATCGGCAAAAAATTTTGAATGCAAGTGCGGTCGAATCAATTTAATCCGAATAAGAAAGTCAAATGCTATGTGCCTAACTGCCTAGGGCCTACTATAGTCTGAATATATATATATAGAGAGAGAGAGACCTTTTCTGGTCAGGTGTGCCTGACCAGAACCGCTGTGCGGACTTAACCCGTTTGAGGGCTTTCCCGGTGGAATTTTTTGATGAAATGTTTTGATCATGTTCCTCATCAAGTCTAGTTTATGTAATCCAAATTTCAGCTCAAAATTGAATTGGGAAGGCAGTTAAATAAATTTTTGAAACATATTGCGCATTATGTATTCTCCCTGTCGGGCGCGCCTAACAGGATCTATTCTCTCTCTCTCTATATATATATATATAGAGAGAGAGAGAGAATCTTTCATGTCCATCCGGCCTGACGGGAACCGCCATCCGGCCGAGAATCTTACATATCGCATTTGCACTTTTATTATTAAGTATTTTACATTTAAGTTTACCGTAGCATTATTAAGTATTATACGGTAAACTTAAATGTAAAATACTTAATAATAAAAGTGCAAATGCGATATGTAAGAGTGCACATCCACCTCATTACAAAATATCACATTTTAATTGTTACTCTCTTCGTCTCATTTTACTTGTCTTACTTTCCTTTTTGGTTTGTCCAAACACTAAGTGTCACATTTCCTTTTTTGGAGAGAAAACATGTGATCGGTAGCATTTCACTTTATTATACTCAAATCCCAACCACAACTTTTACTTTTTCAACTACTTTATTAATTAATTGTGTCAACCCAAAGGACATAAAATGGGACGGAGGTGGTATTTTATTTTTCGAAAATTAATGCACTTTTGTGTTATTCAAAGGCACTTTTTCTCCATATTCATGCACATTTGTCACTTCAGGTTTCAAAAAAGTTTCCAATATCTACACTTTTGCCACCATGTTTTCAATTTAAAATTAATTTAATCCGCTAATTTCTCATTTTAATGGCTAAAACTACTTCTCATTTTTCATATGAGTACTTTGTATTTGAACCTCCCTATATATATAGGGGTCCAGTTTCGGTAAGAACAACTGATCAATTTTTCATTTTCATTTACCCCAGTGCCGCAAAGGCTCCCATCTACGGTGGGGTAAGGAGGGGTCAGATGTACGAGTCTTACCCCTGTACTAAAGCACAGAGAGACTGTTTCCGGATGACCCATAGTAAAAATCCCGTCCAAAATTGCATGGACTGACTGTTGCTTCATGACAAAGAAGCGCAAACAGTTTAGTGAGCCATTTTGCTTTATTCCATCATAATCTCAAGCCAAAAAATAATGAATCTTTGGCTCCATTGCAAATGATGGAAAGTTTCGGTAAGAACAACTATTCCCTTGAAAAACAATGCAGATTCTGGTTCATGGCAGTGCACATTTATGATTACGATAATGCGCAGTTCAATTAGACAGAAAAATTTGATTTATTTACAAAAATGACAACACAATTTCTAATTCATGAAAGTGCACATTTCTATTTCACATAATGCTCGATTCTTAAATATAACGCAACAAATTTGTTCTCATTTTACCCTTAGATCGCGTTCTCATTTGATTCTATATATAAGGCAAGTTCCAATAAAAAAGTAGTTTTCCCGTGTAAGGTGCGTACAATTGCGCTTATTGTCATGCACAGTGCATTATTGCCTTAAAATGATGCACTTTTAGAAATGACGGATTTTTTTTACTTAATTATAAATATACCCTGCGTTTTTATCAATTTGAATACATTGTTGGAAAATTTAGAGTCATTTGATCATAAATTGAATCCGCAAAATATATTCTTACTTTTTATTTGAACTCATCCCTTTAATAAAAGAGGTCTTAATGTGAAAAGTTTGAAATGCACTTATGCATGCTACGATGTACTCTGTTTAAATAGTGCATTTTTCCCATTCGTAAAAAGTTCACTTATTTACAAAATTGTCACTGCATGTTTTTATAAATATTGCATTTTTTTAACTGCTTAAAGTGCAGAAGCTTACCATAAAAGTACGGCCGAGCTTACTATAAGTACATTTCGCACTTTTCATAATGGCAGAATAAGTAGATTCAAATAAAGGTGAACCTGAACCAGCTGAGACTTGAAACCAAGAGTTCGATAGCCATTATGATGAATCATTCGCTCTGCAAGCTGATTAGCATACCCTGCACATAAAGCTTTCCGCAAATTTTTGTAGTCTTGTTCACTTTCTTTGTGCCTTCTACTTGTTTGGACAACCAAAGACTCTACAATTAAAGGCAATAGGTGTTGCATGTGAGAATTTTGATTCTTTAGCAAACAAAACCAGAGCACCTTTGTCATCTTTATACTATCCCTACAGTGCGCTTTATTACATTGACACTCAATATCAAAGTTTCATCGGTGTCCAAAGTTGTAACCAAGCCTTATTTTTACACTTTTACAGGCAGCATCATGTGCACGGTTTTTTAAAGGGACCTCGAAGAATAAAACTAATAACATTGCTAATAATAATAATATTAAGATAGTATAAATAGAAGCTGAGTGAAGAATAAGGGGTAGGCAGAATTTCAGTTGGAAATTGGGATTGTGCTTGGGAGAGAACTGCACAAAGTGTCTCAAACTATCTGTTTCTTCTCTTTCTTTCTATTTCTGCCATGGTTGTTCATGAAATCCTGTTGCTTCATTAGATTTTCTAATCAATATATTGCTAGTTTTCTGCTGCGTTGGTTGAGTTCCTATCAGTTTTTCAGAGCAGGTGGATTAAAATTTGGGAGGCAGAACTGCATAAATGAAGAAAATTAAAGCACCAATTGAATTGGCCATTTACTTTTCAAGGAGAATCCCCAAACCATTTTAATGGAAGATTAGATCAAAACCTAGAATGCACGGAAACGCTAGAGGGTAGAAGTTTCCCGTATCAGAAACATACCAACGTTTCCGAACGGCTGAAACGCCGGATACGCGTGTCTGGGCTCGTTTCTTAATTTTCATAAATTGGGAAACGTGTTTCCCCCAAAAAACAGAGCTTTGCAATTTTGTTGACCAAAAATAAAACTTAGATTAGGAATCGGGGGACACCTTTTTACATTGAAATGATCCATACTCCTGCAAAAAACCTAGAAAGCCAAACAAATAAATCTTAGGTAGAATTAATCGTCTTGTCTTCAGCCCTAATCTTCTCCACCAGCTCATTGGCTTCAACAGACGCCTCATCTTCACTCATCTGCAGGCTGGTTTCTTCAGCAGTTTATGACTTTTAACTCTTTCTCCTTCTGCGACACGGAGTTCCGAACTGCTGCTTAACTTCTCTCTTCTGGATCGGTGGCGGAATTTGAGACTTCGTATTTAGTGCGCGGGGGATAAAAAATCAAATTGAACTTAGGTGATGATGTGGTGTCCATTAAAAAGGAGTATTTTTTGTTGGTGGCTGGCATGTACTTAATTATTTGGGCGAATTGTTTACTTTATAATTAATGTGTTGATGTTGTATTTTATGTTATGTTAGGGGTTAATTTTTGAATAATTCAACATTTCAATATGGTGAGTTATTATTATTTAGAATAAACAAATATTATGTGGAATGTGTGTACGGATGTATTTTATTATATATACATAGGGAAAACAGTCAAATAAGCCCCCTACTACTTCAAAAAAGTCAACCCCTGAACTAAAACAACCTCCAATCAAACCCATGAGCACATAAAATTCTCAAATTGGTTATTTAGTCGGTAACCTTCTGGTTTCCCGGTGAACAACGTCTATGTGGCTTTTAATTTTAATTTTGCTTTCTCTGTTTTGTTTCCTCTCCTGTTTTCTTTCTCTCTGTTTCTTTTTGTCTTTCTTTTTGTCTTTCTTTTATTCATTTCTTTCTCTTTCGACAAGCAGCAACTAGCGGCTATGAGGATGGCACCGGCAGGTGGCTGAGCAAATCCGTGACCATGCCGTCCAACACTCATTTCCTCTCCATAACCACCACATCGATCTGTGGCAGCAATTACTTTCTTCCTTTGTCTCTTTCTCTTTCCCCGGTCCGGCCCATTGATGAAGACCACCGGTGAGCAGCAGCTGTTATGATGCCACCGGCCAGTGGCGGACAAGATCCGTGCCCTGCTGTTTAGTTCCAACACTGATAGAGACACAGGAACTCAGCCTATTACTAATAATAATGTTGACTATTATAAACAAGTGTATTCCAGAAGAAGAAAGGGGAATATTAAATAGCTATGTGTTGAATAGAGGGCTGGGGGAATTACTATAAATACGTAGCTATTGTAATAAGACGTAGGGTGGTTTTGGCTTTGTTGGGCTGGGACTTGGAGAGTGGCTCTCTTTAAACTGTCAGACACTTTCTCTCTCTTGTTTGTTAATGACGACCTCCCTCATACAGTTCATCATCCAGTTTATCACTTTTGCTGCTTTAATCACTCTGTTACAGATTAGATCCCTATCATTGGTATGAGAGCACGATCGTGGTACCTGTTTATGGTTGCTACCAGACGAACGATGGAAGAGGTTGGAAAACGTGGAGCGCTAGCTGGTACAAAGTCGTGAGAACCTGGAGCGCGAGCTGGAGAGGAATCGTGAAGAGGCTAAATGCAGTAGCGATGAGTTACGTGAGTTAATTCTGAAGCAAAATGATCGTCACTCACGCGGAAGATCAAAAACATCCAAAAAAGTGCGAGGAATGACAGTCGCGACTCCATATCATCCGAAGGTAATCATCGATCCTTATCCTCTAGACGTGATGATGATTACAATAGATGGATTGAAAAATCTGGAAGAAAAGTGGATTTGCCACTTTTTAATGGTCAAGATGCGTATGAATGGACCATTAAGGTTGAGCGTTTTTTTAAATGAACCGCATAGATGAAGAGGATAAAGTTGAGTTGATTACTCTAGCTATGGAATGTAAGGCTCTAAACTGGTTCCAGTGGTGGGAAGAACATTCGAATGTGAGAAACTGGGAACAGTTTAAGGATGCCTTGATTCAGAGATTTTAACTTGGACTAGTACAGGATCCATACAGTCCTTGACTAAGTATTGCACAAACAAGAAGTGTGATGAAATATAGGGAACAATTTGAGTTGATGGTAGCTCCTTTGAAACATACTGATGTGAAAATTCTCAGGGGAATTTTTATGAAAGGGCTGAAATACGTGCTGAATTGAAATTGAATCCTGTCATAACTTTGGCAGAATTAATGGATAAGGCCTTGATGGTAGAAGAAAGAAACAATACTCTGAACTCAAGCAGATCCGAGGAAGAGGATAGAAGGATAGAAGGGGGTTGAAGGAGAGGGGGAATGTTCCTTCACAGTCTCACAGATGGTTGAATGAGAACAAATGGAAGAACAACCTGACTAACCAGAATGGATCTGAGAAATCTACCTTGGAGAAGAGCAATGAGGTAGTAAACAAAGGTGCAGGAATGAGGGGAACACAACGATTATCTCAGTCTGAACTGCAGGAGTTGAGCAGGAAGAGCCTTTGCTTTAAATGCGGGGAACAGTGGGGAAAAGGTCACATATGCAGGATGAAACACTTTGAGATCATCATGTTGGATGATTCTGAAGTGGAGGAAGAGTTAGAAGCAAATCAACTGGAACCTATTTCAAAGATTGAGGAACATGATCTTCCCAGTACGCAATTATCACTGATGAGTAAAGAAGGAATGACTACTCCAAGGACTTTCAAACTAAGAGGAAAAATACAGGGTCATAGAAGAAGCAAAGAAGTAATCATACTAATTGATTGTGGGGCTACTCATAACTTTATATCCCCCAGGGTGGTACAAGAAGTGGGAATTCCCATACTTCACATTCCCGAATTTAAGGTGGAAATAGGGAATGGAGATCAAATTAAAAATGATGGAAGATGTGAGGCCTTATCTGTTATGGTGCAGCAGATTATGATTACTCAAGATTTCTACACTTTGGAGTTAGGAGGATCTGAAATGGTGTTGGGAATGGAATGGTTGTCTGGATTGGGAAATGTGGAATTTAATTTCCATCAATTAACTATCAAATTGGTTGTGATATCATGTATCGATTCATGTTAGCCGACCCCAATATCTTTTGGGACTAAGGCTTGGATGTTGTTGTAATTAACTATCAAATGGGTGGAAGATGGTCAGTCAAGGAAATTGAAAGGAGATCCTAATCTCAGCAGAACTGAAGTATCTCTGAAAAGTTTGGTAAAAGCTTTACACAAACATGGAGAAGGATATTGTTTGTACCAAGCTGCAATGAAGGAAGAAGTGGAAGAAAATGAAGAGAGACAAGTTTGGGTCAGGGAATACAAGGCAGAGTTTCCTGAAGTTTTCAATTCCTTAGAGGGATTACCTCCAAAAAGGGACTATGATCATGCTATTAACATTAAGGAAGGATCAACTATCCCTAACATCAGACCTTATAGATACCCACAGTATCTGAAGAATGAAATTGAGAATGTAATTCAAGACTTACTGAATGGGGGAATTATACAGCCCAGCACCAGCCCCTACAGCAGTCCAGTGCTCATGGTCAAGAAGAAAGATGGGGGATGGAGATTTTGCGGAGATTACAGAGCCCTTAATCGAATTACAATACCTGATAAATTTCTGATTCCAATCATAGAAGAGTTGTTGGATGAACTAAGCAGTGCACAGATTTTTCTAAGTTGGATTTGAAATCAGGTTATCATCAAATCAGAATGAGAGAAGAGGATATCCATAAGACAGCTATAAGGACTCATGAGGGTCATTATGAGTACCTAGTTATGCCATTTGGGCTTACTGATGCAGCCTCCACTTTTCAGACTTTAATGAACAAAGTCCTGAAACCTTACCTTAGAATATTTGTACTAGTCTTCTTTGATGACATCCTGATCTACAATACAACTGAAGAGGAGCATTGGGAACATGTGAAAAAAGGTGCTACATTTATTAAAGGAGAATCAGTTAGTGGTGAATGAGAAAAAGTGTTCCTTTGGGCAGAAACGGTTGGCCTATTTGGGGCATATTATCTCTAAAGAAGGAGTTGCAGCTGATCCTATCAAAATTGCAGACATGTCGAACTGGCAGTACCCAACTGATATCAAGGGATTAAGAGGATTTCTGGGCCTTACCGGATATTACAGAAGATTTGTCAAAGGCTATAGTAGAACAGCAGCACCTTTGAATGAGCTTCTGAAAAAGGATGGGTTTAAGTGGAATCTAGAAGCACAGGAAGCTTTTGATGAGCTGAAACAAAGAATGACTCAATTACCTGTGTTGAAGGTTCCAGATT